ACAGTTTGAAATAAAACTGCAGCAGTACCCTTCAGTGACACTGCTGCTTGCCTTATCGACAGCTGAATGTCAGGGGCACGCAGTTTCACGTCCTAAAGCTCGGAAGAGCCTCTCACCAAGGAGTCGCTCTCTCCGGAGTCCAAAGCAATCCTAGAACCGCTTTCCAGAAGTCATTTGTCCTTTAGTGTGTTTGTTTGGATATCTCCTTACCTTGCTTAGAAGGTGACCTGATTTTTTTTTTCAAGTTCACCTGATTTGCTATGACCAAGATAAGAAGATTTAGGTCATGTAAACCTGCTGGACATCAATTTCACAGTCCGTAAGATGGAATGCCTCAACTTGATTAACTTCCCACTTTCATTAGAATCAAGGGTTAACAGAACTTGCACCTACTACTATGCATCTCCCACCCCCAATTTCACAGATGAGGGAGCAGAGGCACAGAATGAAAGGACAATTCCTTTAGGCTCCTTAATGGCAGTGCTGACACCAAACCCACATCTCGCTTTTTCCAGTCCCATCTACTTTTCAATATACCTAGGGATGAAATAACAGCTAAGAATCCTGAGGATAAATAAACTATTTTTTTCCAGCCACATTTCTGAAATTTTTCTGACATAGCCAAAAGTTAAAAAAAAAAAAGGAAAAAGAAAAAAACACTTTATGTTGTGACCCAGAACACACACATACATGAAAAAAGTTTCAGAAAATAAGTTGCTCTGCATAAGCAATGGATATTTTTCATTCTCATCAGACCTATTCCATTTTATTAACGTGGCACAGGAGCCACCAAATTGATCTGTGGGATCAGAAACCACTGTGATAAACACTCTTTTTAAAAGCAAAGATCCTTTTGAAATGAAGATTCAGAGAGTATGTGTTTATAGCCATGATTTTCAACGGATGCACTGCAAGAATTTTTACAGCATGCCATGGCTGACTATTTAGTCAGGGGGGCACTGACCTCAGTTCCTTTAGATTGTCAAGTTTAAAAAATGACAACAGCCAACACAATAGCCCTCCAGTATGAATGAATCAAAATGATGCCTAATTTTTTGTCAGATCGGCAAAACATATATTTTTTAGTGAGCCACAGAATTTTAGTAATTAGTTTATGTGTGGCATGAGATGAAAAAAAGGTTGAAAATCACTGGCTTATAGCATAGACAAGATGTATTACCATAGCACCTTGACCTTTAAATGTGCTTCATAAGCCTGCAAGGAAGCGAGGGTGAGAGCAGGAAAGACAATATAAATGCATTTGAGATTTCAAAGGACAAGGTAGATGCCTCTAACTTTTAGCTTTTACATTTGCATTGAAATGTCCCAATTATATTTTTACTCTTTTTTTTTAATTTGAGAAATTTCAAAATAACTTGAACAGAGGCCATATATACAAAATCATATCTGGAATTGTATGCATTGTGTTGGGAGTTGACATTTAAAATTCATTAACTGGGTAACACACAGAAGGTTTTCCATTTCTTACAAATGTTATTTCGAATCACAGCAGGCACGGAAAATAGTTCATCTTCAACTAGATTGTGAATTTATATGTGATGAGATGCTGTGAAAAACAACAATTGAATACATAGATAAATATTTGCAGGATGTCTGGGTATTCTGATAAATAATATCTGCTCTGCAAACATTCTTCTTCTGTGGTCTGTAAAGCCCCACAGAAAGTCTTCCACTCAATCTGTCTTCTGTTGCATCGCTTTTCTGTCCTAGGTTTCTGAGCTGTTCTCACTCCAGATTGATACCTTTGCACTTTTCAATCTTCCACCGTTAGTCACACTGCTTTCATTCTAGTCAACTCAATGGTCTCTTCTTACTTAGCTTTCCTCCTCCGAGCCATATGCCTCCTGCTGTGAGGAGGTCGGACTGCAGTCACTCTGGAATACTCCATAGCAGTACTTTGGAATACTTTGGTCCCTGCCTTAGAGAGCTGCTTCTGGGGAAACCAGGATCTGCTAGGTGTGGAATGCAGAAGGGGACCCGAGGACCTGAGGATAGAAGGCATTTATCCATTCCAGCACCTTGAAGCCAGATTGGTGAGATAAAGAAGCTCCTAGAGCCTTGGCTGGTAGAGCTCAGTGGATTGAGCGCAGGCCTGCAAACCAAAAGATCGCAGTTCCATTCCCAGTCAGGGCACATGCCTGGGTTGCAGGCCAGTTCCTAGCAGGGGCCAGTTCCCAGCAGGGGACACATGAAAGGCAACCATACATTGATATTTCTCTCCCTCTCTCTTCCCCTTCCCTTCTAAAGATAAATAAATAAAAATTTTTTTAATGGTTATTAAAATAAGAAAGAAGCTCCTAGACCTTCATGACATTTTTTGAGCAGCTGAATGAGACTTCAGTTGAACCCAGCGCTTCCACTGAAATTTCCAATACACACCAATCATTTTTAATAAATTCCGATTTTACTTATCCAGTTGCACTGAGGTTTTCTTTTACAACGTAAAGATGTTTTAAACTGACATGATGATTAGCTTCTTTCTTCTCTATCAATCCACAAAGCCCCTTTCAGCCAAGTCCCTTGTCTAATTTCTCTTTATATGATAAACTTTTCCAAATTAAATAAGTGACATAAAAGAAAACTTCCTGCAAATCTGCCATGAAATTGTAATAAAGCTAAATAGAAAACATGATGATGATACCAACAATAGTGGCTAATATTTAGTGAGTACCTATGATATAGTAGCGATAAATTAAGGCAATGGTGCTCAAATTTTGTTGCAAATTTACTTTTCAAAACCCAGATGTCCACGCCACTCTTGTGTCAACTAGATTCCTTTCACACCAGAATATCTGGGCATAGGGCACAGGCATGAGCATTTTTTTAATCTTCACCTGAAGATATGTCTATTGATCTTAGAGATAGAGGAGGGGAGAAAGAGAGAGAGAGAAACATATGTGAGACAGAGACATCCATCGGTTGCCTCCTGTATGTGCCTTGACTGGGAGTGGAACCCACAACCTAGGTATGTGCCCTAACTGGGAATTGAACTCGTGATGACCAGAGCAAGCATTCACATTTTGAAAAAGCTTTCCAGGTATTCCAGGAGCAGTTAAATTTGTGAACTCCTCCATTGAAAGTTTGCTAATATATTATTAATCCTTACAGAACTGATGTAACATACTGGTTCATCATCATCAACATCATCATCCTCATCACTGTTACTATTAATATTATCAAGACTTAGCCAATGAGGAAGAAATCTGAGTCTCAAGAAGGTCACGCATAATACACAACAGAACCCAGTTTTGAAAATATTCAAGTAGATTGAGGTTCTTGAAAACTAGCAAGGAGTAGAAAGGGAGAAAGCCAAGAACATAGGTAATCCACAGAGAACGCTATCTTTGGTAGAAAAACAGTAAAAGCCAGAGTGTCTGTCCTCCAGAGAAGCACTCCAGGATCTAACAGTGGTTTATCAGCACCACACAGACCCCAGTTCTGTTCATCTGCCATCACTCCATAGGCATCTATCAAACCATGTCCATAAACGAAGCACAACCGGTAAGCAGGCTGTGGACTAAAATAAAAAGATTCAAGCCTGAAAAACTCTCCACATGCCAGGAGAACTGACTGACGCTCACAATACCTAAGGATAAAGGGGGGTCTGATATAGTGTAGACAACTGTCTTTAAAAAATATTGATAATGAAGTTTCAAATTAGGCCAATAAGCTTGAATTAAAAGGTGAATTTGACCACTTTATTATCAACATAGTTCTCACAGGCTTACATAAAATTTGGCTGAAATATTGTTGGCAGAAGAAGAAAAACTGTGTGCTTTCCTACACTGACAATTGTGAACAATTTTTAATCATCAACAAATCATTAATGATACAAAATTGAAAAACCAACCCATTGAAGTTCCATTATATATTACTGAGATGGATGTAAAGAATTTACCCAGTTTGCCCATGAAACACCAGTAGGAAACCTTGAAAGCAACTTTGGTTTTTCTTTCTTTTTCATTCTCACATTTTAGTGCAGATTATTTTTGACCCCTTCAGTAATAGAAGCAGTATTTGGGGGTCGGCTCTGTGGCACAATCTGCCAGCTATGGCCACACTGTTACGAATCTGAAGAACAATTATTCCAGGTGACTTTTTGTCTTCTTGAATCTCCACAGATAAAACAAAGATACTCTTTGATGTCAAAGAAACCATTTTGACTTTTAAAGAGTAAAACAAAAAGTTGCAGGCAGATACTGAAATAGATAATTGCATGGCCCTATTTGCCAATACTCTGTGCTAGAAAGGAAGTGTTTATAGCATCAAAAATAAAATACAATGAAGAGTCATTTCCCACTTCGATGGTGAGTCAACACATCCTGCTATACCCTACCAGATAATCCAAGTTTAAATATATATATATATATATATATATATATATATATATATATATATTATTCCTTATTCAGCATTTTTCACTGTCTTCAAAAAATAAAGTACAAACATTGCTGTGACTATTTCTTCAGTATGTTTTCCAAACCAGAACAAAATGACATTCCACACAACTGATCCCAAAGCCTGCCGGTCTTGACTAGTAACATGTGCAGAAATAACTCTTACACCCTTTTGGCTTCGTGGACAGAATGATTTCAATCGCAAAGCATTTGAGCTATCAGGTTCTGTTTATCACATGTAAAAGGTTACTATAATTACGCTTATGAGGCTCAGAAAGTTTTCAAGCCATTTCAAACACATTTTGACAATTGAGAATTACCCAGCAACTTTAGCATTGTTATTTTTTTCACACAAAAATAACGCAAGCCCTTATACCCAACTGCCTGTATATATGCTGTTTCCATCTTTTGAAAAAGTGGAAGTGTTCAGGGCATCCTGGCTTTGGGAAAGGACTGGCTGTTTTATTGTGTTTTGCAACAGCCACAGCAGAGAAACTTTTAACTGGGGCAATTAGTTGATACCATGACACAGCTACGCAATCAAGGCGGCGTCTGGTGGGGGCAGAACGCTCCGCATCCTACCTTGGGAGCCTTGGCGTGTTTCCCACATCTGGCATCCTTGACAAGGCTGAGATCTAACAGCTCCGTCTCCTGGAAGGCAAGAATGCAAAACTGTTAAGCATCCACGTACATCTCTTTTCTTTGTTTTATATCATTGATGTCACTTTTAAAAACAGACCATATTTTGCCACGTATAATGTGCGCCTGTGTATAATGGGCACTCATGTTTTGGGCCCAAACTTTGAAGAAAAAAAATCTTCCATTTTAATTTTTTAATTCAATTATTTATTTATTTATTTATATTTAGAATTTTGTCATCTAAAGAAATTTCAGCATTTATTTTTTTAACATCTTATGGCACAAGAAATTTTATGTAACAGATAATTACAAAACACAAGAACAGATACAAGGTAGTTCAGGTATTACCCATGTATAACGCTCATTCTTATTTTTCCCTCAAAAATTTGGACAAAAAGGTGCACATTATACATGGCAAAATACGGTAATATCTTGAGACCTGCCTGAAGATTTCTTTGCAGTTGGGATGTGGTTCCTCTTACACCAATGACGAATTGGAATGAAAACAAAAAGACAGCAAACTGCTAACTATTCAGTTTAATATATAGTCTAATACATTTTAGGTATAATGTGTGTGGTTTGGGTCTCCAGTTTAGCATACAAACCATTGCTAAGTCATGATGAAACAGGCCTTCCTGTTTTCCTGTTGAGAAATCATCCTAAGAGTCACTCGGGGTGTAAGTAAGACTGTGAGGGGGGTGAGGGATTAGCGGAAAGGGTAGAAGATGATGTTCCTCCCACCATCTCACAGAATACCCAGCTCACCTGGCCAAGGTGAAAGAGTTGGATCTGCCTCCACTACTTAGCCCCACCCAAGCCTTCTTCATGCTTACCTTGTGCCCTGATCTTCTCATTTATTTATTATACTTTTTGAACACTTATAATATTCAACTCACTCTAGGGTACTAGACTCCTAAGATATGATTGCTTCTCTGGATCGCCTTGCCACCGAAGAGAAGACTAAGAAGTGTATATGTGTAAGATCAAGAAGGGTCCATGCCAAATTTAAAGTCACCCGCTATGGAGGTCAGCAGAAGGAAGAGAGTTTTCCCTTCGGGACTCAGAGAAAAGTCCTCGGAGGAGTCACTGAGCATGGAGAAGTGGGGCTGTGGGGGGCTGATGTTGTACCCTCAGTTGGAGGGCAAACCGCCAGCAAATAGCCACAAATAAAAGGAACAGAGGTTTGGGTGAAACCTCGAGGTATTCACGGCCATTAGACACTTGAAGGAGACCACTGCAAGGAGAAGGGGTAGGGAGGAGGGGGTCATGGAAAGGCATCTTGGAGTAAGAAACAGCATAAGGAAAAGCATACTTCAGGGAGGTACAAAAGGGGATTCACGTGGGCTACACTTAGTGCTCCGTTGCAGAGCACATATGAAGAAAAGCCGTAGGATATGACACAAGAAGGGGATATGGTCAAAAGGATGGAAACTCCGAAAGTGTGGCTAAGGGCACCGAGCCATGAGGTTTGTGACACACAAGTCACTGAGTTATACAGTGGGCTCTATAGCTGGCCAGATGGGACTGTGGCACAATGAGCAAAGTCATCCAATCTGTTTTCTAGACAATGAGCCAGTGGATGAAGGAATCTAGCCCCCTTCTCCCAGCAGAAGGTGTGGCAGCAATTCAGCCACTCACAGACCCTCTGGTCAGGAGTGGCTCTAACTTCCCAGAAACCCCAATGTCCTTGAGTCCTGGCAGCTGGGGCTCCCAGAAAACTTCAAACAAATGCCACCAATTCCAAATGTTCAGTGCAAAATGCTCTCATTATTTTCTTGTGCCCAAGGTTGACCTCATGCTTGCTGTACAATAAGAGTCAAATATGAGATGTCCCTCCATTGAAATGCAAACCCAACAGAAGTCCCAGCCACAGCACACCTCTCGGTGGGCTGAAGGGAGGATAAGAACCAGTGCCTTCTCTTCTTTTGCTCACCCTGACCATCTTAGCAGATCCCTTACTCCATTTCCTGTTATGTGTGACTGCGAAAATCCTCCCAAACCCTGGGGTGTGTCAGGCAGCCAGCCAGCAAGGAATTTTCAGGACAGAGTAACCAGTGCCATGTTCCCCTAAGGGAACCATTTGATATGGAAGGTCACCTTCTAAAAGCTATAAAAGAATAGTATCAACCACAGGACTCAATGCTTCACTTAAGCAAAAGCATCATGAAGTCCGCAGACATGAGGAGGCGGAGCTTCTGGCCCAGGTTTTTTACCTCCATGACAACAACAATCAAAATATTTGTTGGAAAAGGAGAGAAACAGGAAGAGAATCGAGCTTGAAGAAGCTTGACCTAGAAGTCCTCACTGAGTGGGAATCTGAGAAAAGAAAAACCCAGTGAAGGCAGGAATATTAGAAAGAAAGATGAGATTGATAATCTGGAGGTTAAAAAGGAAATAGAACAGTTATAAACAACTCCAGGATGGCCATCTTCCCCACTGGACTCAGGAGTTTGGGCAAAATGACAGTACATTTTGGAAATGCTGATTTGAGGGGCTTATCCAAGTGGAAATGCCACTCATTAATTCACTTGAGCATTATTACATACTGATATGTGTCACATACAGGCTAAGTACTAAGAAATGACAGTAAGAAAACACCCCCAAAACCCAAACATCTGATACCTATTTTGAGGAGCAAATACCCAAAACCAATTATTTTACTCTAAAGGAGACATCTCAAGTGTACTGCAGACATGGGCAACAAAGGCATCTTTTCAGCCAATCCATAGAAATTAGAAGAGTTTTGTAGCCTTATAATTCTGCGTATTTGGGGATAGGGAGTGTTCGGGAAGAAGCAACAGCAGCCACAAATGCAGAGAGGCAGGAACTGAGTGCAGAAAGCTACAAGTCACTCAAGATACGCAACAGAAGTGCCTGGACTGAGCAATTACGTGGGTGTACTCTTTACAATTACTCATAAAACACTGATGTCTATGTTTAATGCACTTTTCATCTATGCTGCATGATATTTTATATATATGCAAAATAAAAGTCACACATACACAATGCATTTCTCTAATTTTATAGCAACATTTTTCTGTTCAAGAAAATTCTATCCAGTTGAACAAACAATAGACTTTACTTCTTTGTTTATACACGCAAAGCCCAAATTCAGTTCACACGGAACTAGAGTTTAGCAAGGTACCATTATATAGTCTTTTATATTACAGATACTGAACGCTGTTTTCTACTTTCAGCTCAAGAGAAAACGTTCATTCCCCAAATCGCAGAAGGGTAGAAATGCCAGCTGCCCGAGGGATTCATTTTGATGCCACAACGACTAAGAAACTCGCCAGTGTGTAAAACTGTGTGTGCAGAAAGACCACCACAGGGCACTATCAACGCGGGTAATGTGGCATGGGAAAGACCCCGGTGGGAAAGCTGTCCATGGACTCGATGGGCTAGAAAGGGAGGATTAAAATAGTGCCTCCCACTTCTATTAACATGCAACAGCCAGCCCTCTCAAGTTCAACTGCATCCTATTCTCTCCTCCACTACAAAGAAAAGAAGCAACCCAGTGCACAGGACCACAAAAACATTACCTGCATCCCTGAAACTTTTCCTAGGTTAATTCTTTTGTGCTAACAGTTTTAACAAACCACCCTCATGATTAGAAAGCAGTGAAGCGATCTTTTTCTCAATTCATTTAAGAATGACCGTTTTCCAGCTTTAAGATAGAGAGATCACAGTTTTTTGATCCATTCATTCACTGATGGGCACCTAGGTTGCTTCCAGCTCTTGACTATTGTAAATTGTGCTGCTATGAACATTGTGGTGCATAGGTTCTTTGAAATTGATGTTTTGGGGTTCTTAGGATATAATCCTAGCAGTGGAATTGAAAACTGTGGTACATATACACAATGGAATTCTATGCAGCAGAGAGAAAGAAGGAGCTACTACCCTTCGCAACAACATGGATGGAACTGGAAAGCATTATGCTGAGTGAAATAAGCCAGGTGTTGAAAGACAAATACCATATGATCTCACCTTTAACCGGAAGCTAAACAACAAAACAGACAAGCAAGCAAAATAAAAACAAATACACTGAAATAGAGAACAGGGGGACAGCAACCAGAGGGAAGAGGGGAGGGAATTTAAGGGGAAAAAATGGAAGGGATTTAGAGGAACAAGTATAAAGGACACAGGGACAATAAGTAAGGGGGGGTGGAAATGGGAGGGAGATGGGGTGCATGGGGGAGGGGTGGGCTGGGATGGGAGAAATAAACAGAAACTGTACTTGAATAATAACTAAATAAAAATTAATAAATAAATAAAGTAAAAAAAGATAGAGAGATCATATGATTATTAAGGGGAAACCGGGGTCTGAATAGGGTCCTAAAATCAAGTAGTCAAGTGTTCAGCCAATCAGCATGCTGTGCCGAGCATCAGTTTCATCATCTACAAAATGAGCATGATCATGCTTTTTCCACTAGTGACTCTCCAACCTGAGCCTGCATTACAGTCACCTGAAGACTTGTTAAAACACACTCACTGGGCACCATCCCTCCCAGTTTCTGGTTCAGCGGGACTGGGACAGCCCTGGGAATCCACACCTCTCATGAGCTCTCAGGTGACGCTGCTGCTGCCGGTCCCCAGGCGACACTTTGACAAGCACTGATATGCACTCATTCATAGGTTATTACGATAAGGCTTTTTAGGTGAACGTGATTGATGAAACTATACATTACTTATATGTTACAGTATGTTGTATGAAGAATCTATAACTATCATTTCTTTATATAGGGAACTGTCAAATAAAAATATTATACCTCCTAAATGCAAACATGTGCCACTAGGTAAATAAATGTGCCATTAGGGAAATAATCTCTAATTTGATTTACTTGAAGAAAAACTATTGAATAACAAAAGCCATCAACTCCTAATAAGTGTGTTTAGCATAAATTTTTACCCTATACAAGTAAAAGTGTCTAATTATTTAGAAATTTAAGCAATAATTGAAATAATTTTATCAATGTTTACTGAAAATGCTATACTATAAAACCTTTACATCC